TGGCGTGCGGTGACGCCTCCACTGCGACCCCTCGGATCAGCAGCGGTCCAGCATCCTCGACCCTTCGCCGCGTGCGGGAGAAGTGGAGGAGGGCCGTCTTGTCAGGTGCAAACTCCGCCCCGCTGCTAACTTCCCACGCCTCTGCACGAGGAATGACTTTTGTTTGTAGCCTTTCAACGTTCGCCCGCGCACTCGGTCCCACGACCCAGGCATTATAGTCATCCACGAACGCGATAGCCCCTTGTGTCTTGTTGATGGGGGTCTGAACCAGGTCTGCATTGAAGAAGAGGAATAGAGTAGCTGACAGGGGGGAGCCCTGGGGCAGTCCCGACTGCGGGAGATCGACCATGTCTGATGTCTCACCGTTGACCAACACACACGCTTGTCGGTTCGAGCAGAACGATTCGACCCAGCGCACCACCGTCTCGGGCACCTGGCGACATCGCAGGCGTTGGAGAAGGACGTCTCGGTCGACGCCATTGTATGCCCCCTTGACGTCAAAACTGACCAGGCTGAGCACTTTGCCGTCTCGCCAAGCGTCGTAGATCTTCTCCTGCAGAAGCGTGAGAGCTTGGCTGGTCGAATGACGTTTCCGGGCGCCAAACTGGTTCTTTGGCAGGAGAGAATACGTCTCGGCCAGGAAGGATAACCTCTGTGCTAGGACCGACTCTAACGCCTTCGCCAGCGTGGGTAACAGCGATATCGGTCGATAGGACTTTGCGTTCGTGTAGTTTGGCTTGTCTGGCTTGCGCAGCGGTATGATTTTCGCCTGTTTCCATGCTTGCGGGATGATCCCCGTTCTCAATGACGCCTCAAAGAGGAGGAAGATCCACCGACCGAGGATCGGCCACAGCTCTTTCCAGACAACCGCGGGCACGTCATCCAGGCCGGGTGCTTTATATGGCTGCGCCCGGAATACCGCTCCTTTCACCTCATGCATGGTCAGTGGTTCCCACGGAAGCTGGTTGTCTTCTGCCCTCGACACGTGGTCCTGCCTCGGAGGGTGAATCTTGCTCTCGAAGAATTCGTCGAGCAGAAGCCGACTGATTTCGGCATTATCCTCCACCAATCGGTCTCCGACCGTCAGTCCAGGGATACGGTGGAAACCACCGCTCCCGTCGGGTTGGAGGTACTTCGCCGCCTTCCAGATGTTGTCGGTGTTCTGTAGAAACTCGTCCCAGTGACATTTCAAAGAATCATATGTATATTTGCCGTGTCTACCTATCTAGACTATACCCTAGTTTTCAGCCTCATGCCTCAACGACTCTTGGGGTGGACGAGGCCCCTCACGCCTAGGTGACTCTCTGTTTACTCCTTAAGCATACATCATCAGGCCTCTTCAGCTAGGACGACACCACTACCGCCGGTTGGGGTCAGGGCCTGAGTGCGAGTCAGGTAGCAAGTCGCATACGGGTAACAGCTCCTTGCTAGGACGACACCACTTCTCCCAACTTTCTTCAGTAGGCCTTAGTGCGAGTAAGGTAGCTGGCCCCTGCCTCTTTGTACACCGACATGCGCCTCCGTCCTCTCGAGCCACGTAGACAGTCTTGTAGGCTCTGGCCTGCCATGGCTGCCATTACGTGCTACGCCCCGCGAGCCTAAAGACTCGTTTCGCGTTGCCTAGTGCGGTCTCCCACATCTAGGCCGACCATGTCTCGCAAGGGAACCGTGAGATGCTCCTAGCCAGCAAGTCATCCCCGTCTGCGATCCCTTCCTAACCAAGCTTATGTCCCCTCTTCAGTTGTACTTCCTCACGGTGGCTTGTTCCTTTCAGTATACTGTCCTCCTTCTTTCCCTTCCCGCGGTTACTTGTTCTCGGAGTTTAACAGGGCCGGCAAGTCGGGGTCCAGAAGGTCGAGAGGTGACTTGTTCTCGAGGTTTAACAGGGTCTCCCGTAGGCCGCCCACCACGACGCGACAGTGGCTTGTTCTCGAAGTTTAACAGGGCTGCACGTGCCGTAGTAGACCTCCTAAGATAGCATACATCAGAATTAACAGGGCCGCTTGTACGTACCTTTCAAAGGTTCCCGCCACCCTCGCGACGCGTCGTGACACGCTGACTCAGAGTGCATGTAAGCTGAGGGTGTCCTGTCGCGTCAATAGGCGACACCGCTTCCACAAGTTTCGATAGGACTTGCTTCGGTTCCAGGTCCGAGCTGGATACTGACGCGTCGGATGGTTTCTAAATCGATTCCCTCTTTTTTGGGTATTTTGACACGTCGCAGTCGCGCCCTCTCTTTCGTTGTTTAGACTCATCTCAGTTCACGCTTTTTCAGCGCTTAACACCGGACACCGCGAGAAGGTGTGAGTCCATCGTCCCGCAGGCCTCCCGTAGGCCTACGCTCTGCGTGCTCGCAGAGGGCATGAATATAAGCTATATTCGTATTCATTTATTCATTTCGGAGCTCTAGCCATGACTGGGAAGGCGGCAGCAAGACTGGCAGCAAGAGACCGGCAGCACGGTTGGCAGCAAGAGAATGGCAGCAAGAGCGAGACGACCTAGTCGGTTCCAAGGTGCACCTGAATGGGGTCTTGCGTTCGATCATATATTTACGCGCCAGGATGGGCGTCCGCGGTCACGTGAAGCCCCGCGGAGCAGCTCCGATGATTTTGTGGGTTGAACAGGCCGCCAACTGACCACTATTTTGGCTCCGGTCTCAGAGATGGTGTTGAAGATTTGATCCAGATACCTTCGGATGTGGGAGATGACAAGGAGGAGGATTAGTCATTTCTTGGTCATCATTGTAAATACGTTCCAGCCTGCGGAATCTCCCTCTGAGAGCGTGTATATATATGTGCAGCATGGGAGCCATGTTTGTGAAAAAAAAAACCGAATTAATGGAAATCATCTCGAGCCTGAGCATAATCTCATATCCTCAACATATGTTTCGACGGCATCTTTCTTGACGCAGATAGCCTTGGTGTCCTCCTGGATCAACTTCTTAGTCCAGCGGATGATATAGTCACTAATCCAGCCGAGCGCGGTGAGGACAGGTCCATTCGCAATTGGGAAATTGGGGCCACAGCCGACCGCAAAGTAATTCGGCATGTGCGGCACGCAGATGCTCAAGTACGCCTCCGGGTTCTCCTTGAAAAGTTCGTGCATGGAGACGCCATCTCGGCCGTACATCTTCCATGGGATAACGCGGTTGTTGACGAAACCGGTCGCGGTGACGATCACATCGAAGTCCGTCTCCTCTCCTCCCGGGAGACGAATTCCTGTGGGAGTTACAGCCTCAATAGGTGTGTTGACGAGAGTCGCGTTTGGTTGTTGAAGGGCTTCGAGATATCCATCAGCCGGGGTGAGTCTGCGGCACCAAGGCTGCCATGTCGGCAAGAGCTTGTCGGCCAGCCCTGGCTGCTCTTGCACACGCTCTTTCATCACGCGCGTCAACGTCTTCCGGAATTCGGCTTTGAGTTCTTGGGCCGTCTCATCAAAAACCAGATTCTTGAAGAGCCTAATGCTGGTATCCTCGAGCTTTTTGCGATACGCTAGCATTTCTTCTGGGTGGTTCTTGAAGTTCGACTTTTCTTCATCGGTGAACGCGAAATTTTGCCCATCACCATTACGTGTGTACTGGGACATGTAGTTAAGAGAGATCCATGTGGGACTTCGGATGTAGTGCGTGATGGATGTGGCCTCTTTCTGGAGAGCTGTGAATACTTGGACACCAGAAGATCCATTACCGATAACGGCGATCTTCTTATTTCGACAATCTGCCGAGTCGTCCCTATAACAATAAGCATCGAGGTCCGTAAGTGCAACGTTCATGGCCGGAAGGCTTACCAATCTCCGGTGTGGAGTATAGGGCCCTTGAAGCTTTGGAGGCCGGGAATATCAGGCGGGTTAGGCTGACTGTGGCAGAATGAGATATGGATTCTACCTTGGGGAAGCCCTCGCAAAGACTTGCCTCTGGGTGCCCGTAGCGCCGACAAAGATTTCGCACTCGTCTTCGATGATTTGTCCGTCTCTTTGGACTATGAAAATTCAGGATGCTGCTGTGGTAACGGCCCCGGTCAGTCGCGTACCTTTGAGTTTCCACTTTCCGGATTCTTCGTCCCAGGCAGCCTCCACCACTTTCGAATTGAACTGAATGTACCTTTCCAGTTCAAATTTTCGCGCGGCGTCCTCAATGTAACCGCGGATCTCAGCACCAGCGGCATAGTACCAAGTCCAGTCATGTTTGGGTGCCCAAGCCAGGTTGTATGCGTGGATGGGAACATCACACTTCAAACCGGGATAGTGGTTCACCAGCCATGTACGCCGACGCCATTCTAAGATCCGTGTTAGGCCTTGGGCTTCAAGCGAAACCATTAAACCCGGTGACTTACTTCCTTCTCGTAGATGGTGAAATCGATCAGATCAGTTAATTTATTTTCATAGATGATCTTGTAAGCCAAAGTGAGCCCAGCAAACCCCGACCCCACGCATACAAGGCGAATCTTCCGCGGGGTTCGCAGAGGGGTGTTGTTGAACGGGACACAGTACGGGGAGTATTGATAAGAACCCATTTTTGTTCAAGACGTCACCACGAAATAACTATTCTTTACTGAAAAAGCATATCTTGTCAATTCCATAGTTTATATTTAATCAAGTTGTGCTACTCCGATTCCGAATAGAAGAGATATCCTCGATTCGGGCCGAGCTGGTAAAGTGACATTTTTCGGAATTCCTCTCTCGGAACCACGAAACTTAGAGACAGGCTTTAATATAAATTTACGGCCAGAGCGAGTCTTCGAGCGCATTGTTTACCTACAAACGCACCCAAACGTGAGCATTAGAACTATCAAAGTACATCGTACTGTTTGCCAATACCTCTGCCTGCATCTCTAAGCGCACATGTGATACGCAACACTCTCAGTCCTCCATACTCAGCTGGACCTCAGGGTCAATAAACGTGCCTTGCAAATCTATCTCGCAGCTTAGTGATCGAGAACTGGCAGGTCCATGTTAAAGTACTCCAAGGATCCGTTTCCACCGAACACCCAGCCCCCATCTAGACTGAATAGAAACTCGCTTGGAAAGGCACTGTTTCGAGAGTCAGGGCCGGATGGCGAAAATGGTTTGGGCGAAGAAGCATAAGAATTGAGACCCGGGGCAGGTGCCTTGCTCGGTGCTCCGCTTGCCCATGAAAGATCCAATCCTTGGTGCACCCTAGCCGACGGCGCAGCCAGAAATGTCGAGAACTGCTCGGTGACGGAAGACATCCCTTCTCCACCCATGGCGGTCGACATTTCAGCTGTTTGTTCCCTATCATGCACCCAAAACCCTTCGGGTTGAGTAAAGGATTGATCACAGGCATTCCTTGCTCCACGATGGACTGAGGGTCGAAGGGAATTGGGACGAGCAAAGCCTTGTTTGCTCTGATTTGCACTTGAAAGTTTACCTGGAACGCTCTCCTCTACGAGAACACAACATAAGGCTTCCAATGCCCGATTCGCGGGTCCTATATGTTGTGAAAGTGTACAAAGTAGGTTGTTGCCGGCCTTGTAAAGTGCATTTCGGACGATCTGGGGATCCAGAAAATTGGAATGGTGTTGATACTCGGGAACGATATAGTAAAGAGCTTCCACTAGTGAGGCTGTCAGAAGGAAGCCATTACCACGGCTAGCGGGATAAAGGCTCATGTATTTCCCAACGCATTCCAGAATGTCTTTAGAGATGAAAAAGCCGGAGCGGATCGCTGACATTCCTGAGCGTGAGAAGCTAGCGTACCATGTCGAATTTCTAGTCGGAGCGCTTGGTATCTCTAGAAGTCAAAAGAAGCTTCATGCCCTGATGAAGCAGCCTTCTGGCCACTTTCCATAGATTTCGAACTTACAAGGAAAACAATAAGTCGTTTGCGAATCTGATGCTCGGCTTCTCCATTTTTGACAGCCTCGTCTATAATCTCAGGCGTTCAAATCAGTCGAGGGGGCGTCTGCTGTTGAGAGGCCGTGATCCTAGCGTCCATAATCTCTATCTCATCCCATTTGCCGGCTCTTCGCGCCCCGGGTGCGAAGAAATCATCCCAGATCTGCGTCCAAAGCTTGCAGTAGATGACAAAGTTTTGAAGTAGCTCTCGCTTCGGAGCGTCGATTTCTCTGTCCCCAGGCCCGTCAACAACACCGGCCCTGAAGTCGCTGACTGCAACTTCACTCTCCCTAATGAAATAAGCAATACCGCATTTCTCCGTGATATACTTGTCTTGGAAGTATAGAGTCCACCAAAGAGCCTTTCTAGGGACAAGTTCCAGCGGCGTAGTGTACCATCGGTCTTGATTGTTCAAGCCTACGTTGAGCGCCGCTTGGAAACCAAGGAGGACATGACTCACGGCTAGGCGTAGCATTTCGCCCCGGAGCGTATATGCAGCGGCAGTGACGTGGTACGTTATGAAATCGATATCATCTTCGCGAGATATCTCCCTGGATTGCATCAATTGTTTGCCCTGTAGGTACATTGACCAGCCTGGGTGAATGTCTGAAGACGTATCGCATGAGGTCGTTGAAGGCTCTGCCGCACTCTCGCCAGATGCTAAAGCATGGTTCCATTATTGCCGGCGTTGTCACCAGTGATGGTGAGGAGCTTGGGCGCAATATCGAGCTCATGGAGCATCTCGAGGACCGCCGCCGCCATATTCTCGCCCGAATGTGGTCCAGAAAGCTCGACGAAATCCAGTAGCGCTGCCCGTCGTTCAAAGCTCGGCGTGATCCAATGCCCAATTACCGCGATAATACTTAACTGGTGCTCAGACGTCCATGTGTCGAGAGCGATGGCAATACTGTCACAGGTTTGAGCAAGCTCACGCCTCAATCCCTGACGATAATCTTCAAACTCATTCTTGACACGGTCACGGAGAGTGTCGGCACATCTCAGGGGTAGCTGGACTCCTGCAGTGTCAAAGATCGCCTTGAAGCTCGAGTGTTCAACCGTGGTGAAAGGTTGTCTTGTCTGAACGACCCATCGCACCAGTGCTTGTTCAAGGCTATTGCCCTCCTGCCTGGAACACAACATGCGGTCTAAAGGGCCTCGAGCCGGGCTTTCTCTCGACGCTGAACCCGGACCAATGCGATGGCGTGTGCGAAGATGAGTGAGCAAATTTGAAGTCGTGCCGTGGCGAGACGAGTCGGAGGACGACCAGCTACACCGCTTGCAGACGAGCAAGCGATCATTCTGTGGAAGCCGGCCTCTTTTGCTCCACTGTACGTCAAGTTCGGTGATCCAAAAATGGTCTTGAGTCCAGCTAGTATGCATTTTTCGCCTCTTCATCGCGGACCCTACAACGCTGGGGCCTGTCGACAGACAAAGTTCCCCAGATTCTGATGTGAGAACCGTTGGGAAGCCACCGGACACCTGCGAGACCGACTCGGCTGGCAGTGGCCCTTCACCGTCATCGTATTCTTGCGTGTCTGAGACAGTGCTTTGCTCAAGGACCGACGAGGAAGGCGAAAGCGACCTGTCGAGCCCGTTGTTAAGGGCCAGATAGTCTTTGCGAGGTAGATTCCGCGTCACGCGAAACTCACCGAGAGCCACGGCCATGTCTTCCAATACGTGAGCTGTTTGCTCACGGCATACAGCAATAACGGACGGTCAGATCCATCTGGCAAGAGAAGTATGCCTATCGAGATGAATCGCGCTCCAACTAAGCCAGAAAAGCTTGGAAATAAACAAGTTCGCCTACCAGGAACTTTCGAGCCCTCCGGAGCGTGTTTGAAGGGCGCACTACGCGCAGCCTCTCCTGTACGGCATGTATGCTGCTTTTGGGCCATTGCAAGTGCAGCAAGTCGCCTCCGCGCCTCGTAATTGATTCGGTGTAGGTGAGTTGGTTCAGGTTACGGATATAAATACATCAATTTGAGATGAGTTTACTCGCGTGAAATCCGCATCGACCTTCAACCGCTCTGAACTGCGCAAAACAATGGAGGCCGGACACTCAACATGTTGGAAAGCGGTTGTGGAGCACGACGCAAGCTTCTCTGGGTAGATTATGACATTTGCAAGCTTACAAGGGTCAAGAATCAATGTCGTCGTTTGGTGGCCGGAACGGATCAACTATCTGCCGAACATGAAGTGAATAATGTGAATACGAATACGAATATTGCCCATATTCGCGTGAATAAGTATTCACTTTATTCGTATTCGCATAGGCGAATATGAATATGGCCCATATTCATATTCGTTTATTCATTTCGGAGCCCTACTCGAAGGCACCCCAAAAAGAGTTTGGTGGTAACCTTCGCAATGGCCCGTAAGGCGGGGCGAAGTCTTAACAGTGGTACTGTAGGGGTATCGAAGCGTATCCGTCTGGTAGCAGTTGTATCCGTGGGCGAGAGACTATGAGTGTATCCTGTCTCGTCCTTCACCCGAATAATCATTTGCTGCCAGTCGATTTCGGGGTTAGCGAGACGTAACCAGTCGAGACCAAGTACAAGGTCGTAACCAGGAATGTCAAGGATACGGGTTTGAATATCCACAATATACTTGCTGATACGAAGGGTTATCGTTGCTTTCCCTTCGCTAACGGCATAGGCGCCGTTGGCCATTTGTACCCAGTACGGAGTGGTGTCCTTTTCGATTGGAACCTGCAGTTTACGAGCTATTTCAGTTGATAAAAATTGTTCAGTAGCACCCGAGTCAATCAGAATGTTGACGGGTTCAGAACAATTGGAAGAGCTCGCAACACCACGTAATTGACAGGTTTCATCCTGAAGGTAGGTCTTCATCGTATAGAACTGCTCAGCCTTGTGTAACTGATCGAATTCACTAGTATATTTGGGTTCTGGTTTGGGGTACGAAAAGGTAGTCTTAGGAGACTTCTGAGAGTTATTCTGATTATGGAAAGGACCAGCAATTGCCCGTAACTTCCCGGAACAATCTGGTTTTTCCTTGTCTTTCCAAGGTGGACGGAGATCCTTAAGAGGTTCTCGCTCTCGTCGAGGTTGTCGTCAAATACAAATCCACGTCCTCGAAGAGACGGACTGTTACGTTTAGGTACTGATGCCCCCGGGCATTTTCGCAAGACACGATCAGTCGATCCGCATCCAAAGCATGCTCGGTGATTTTTGCACCATTCACGCCACTCAGGCGTGCTTTTCTTTGGCATTACGGAAGGATACGATACCTTGCGAGTGTTCTCACGTCTCGGGGCGCTAGCTAGAGAAGTGCCACCGAGTAACGACATAATGCGGCCAGTTGCGCGAAGACCCATCCGTTTGCGGACTTGAGCCTTAGCAGTTTCGACCTGTTGCTGTCGATCCGCGCACTTGATATAGTCAAAGAGCTCGTAGTCATCCCATTCAGGGTGTTCTGCCATGCCGATTTGGATCGCGGCATCAAGGCCAGTTCGAAAATGCTCTTTTATCTCAGATGCGGCTTTAGCCGGTTCGATACGAGCCGCTAAGTAAACGAGGTCCTGTGCGTAGTCCATGACGGGACGATCACGTTGTACACAGGCGTGCCATTTATCTCTCAACCGAGATTGTTCATTGTCGTCCTTAAAGGTATCACGTAACCATTACAAATACTCAGGAACAGTCTGAATTGAGCCGTGAGTAAGGGTGTACATGCGATGCATGCGTCCTGTGAGGTAGTTAGACGCCATCTCAACCTTCTCAGGTTCACTAGTCCATTGGCCTCGTCGATCATAGAAGTTGATCCAGTTCGTAACGTCGCGTATATGATCGTCAAGCTGACCATTGCTTCGATCACCATCATACGCACGTGGTTCTGTTACGGATATGAGATTATGCTCAGGCTCGAGATGTTTTTCCATTAATTCGTTATTCCCATCTTCACAAACATGGCTCCCATGCTGCACATATATATATACACGCTCTCAGAGGGAGATTCCGCAGGCTGGAACGTATTTACAATGATGACCAAGAAATGACTAATCCTTCTCCTTGTCATCTCCCACATCGGAAGGTATCTGGACCAAATCTTCAACACACCCCCTCAGATCCTGCTGATGTGGTGATGCTACCACTGAGACGAAGCTGTTCCAACACTCGCTTCCATTTGCCTGGTCCCAGAGGCTTCGTCAGGCCATCGGCTGCTTGTTCATCCGTACTGACGTATCGGATGGTGATGTGGCCCATGGCGGCCTGTTCGCGACAGTAATGGTTGCGAACGTCGACATGCTTGCTGCGTTTGTGGTTGGCGTGATTATTCGCCAACGAGATCGTCGAGATGTTGTCCTCGTAGATCGGTATCGGTTGTGACACTGACACGCCCAGTTCGACCAGGAGCTGGCGAATCGAGTTCGCCTCACGGATTGCTTCCGTCAGGGCCGCGTACTCTGCCTCCGTCGTCGACAGGGTGACCGTGCGCTGGCGCTGCGATTTCCACGACACCGGGCCACCCCCTAACACGAAGAGGTATCCACTGGTCGACCTGCGTTGATCGATGTCTCCGGCATAGTCGGCGTCACTGTAGCCGAACAGAGACGGCTCGTTGTCCTTTTGTTGGAAGCGGATGCCGAGATCGACGGTGCCGGCCAAGTAGCGGAACACCCGCTTAACCGCGCCCCAATGCCGGGCGCTGGGATTGTCGGCAAATCGCGCGAGAAAGTTGACCGCGTACTCCAGGTCCGGTCGTGTCCGGTTGGCCAGAAAGAGGAGACTGCCGATCGCCTGAAGGTACCGAGTTCTCAGCTCTCCATCCTCCTGCCCGTCGAAGGCGCCGAGGTCGTGGTCCGTCATCGGGGTCGGAACCGCCTTGGCCTCGCCGAACCCAAACCGCTCCAGGACCTTGCGAGCATACGGAGCTTGATGCAGACGGAGGCTGTTCGGTTCTCGCTCGATCTGCAGCCCCAAGTACGACTGAAGCGGGATGTCTTTCATCTTGAACCGAGCCTTCAGTCCGGAGCGCAGGTCGTGCATCGCCCCGTCGTTCGATCCCGTGATCTGAAGGTCATCGACAAAGACCATCACGATGACATCGGTTGCTGCATTGGTGAAGCAACACTGGTCGCTGTGAAGACTGCGAAAGCCCAAGTCAGCGAGTGCTTTACGGAGGGACTCAAACCACAGATGCGGGGCTTGCTTGAGCCCGTAGATCGACTTGTAGATCTGGCACACCGATCCCGCGGGATAAAACCCTTCCGGTGGGCTCATGTAGATCTCGCTGTCGATCAGGCTGTGCAGAAAAGCACCCGTCACGTCCATCTGGTATATGGGCCAGCCTCGAGACGCCGCGAGGGAGAAGACCGCCCGAAACGTACTGGGAAACAAGGTGGCCGCGAAAGTGTCGAAGAAGTCGATGCCTTCCTGCTGCATAAACCCCTTCACCACCCATCGAGATTTGTACTCTTTGATGGTGCCGTCCGGCTGAAGCTTCACCTTGTACACCCATCGTCCCGGAATGAGTCTTCGTCCCGGCGGCAGGTGGGAAACCACCTTCCAGGTGCCTTGGTCTTCGAGCTGTCGCACTTCACGCTGCATCGAAGCCTGCCACTGAGCG